GGACGGAAGAAAATATTAACAAATTCATCTTAATAATAAGGGTTTTTAATTGCAAGGGCTCACCAGAAAGGGTAATACACAATGATAAATTAAAACCAATATCCCTTGTGTGCTGTTTAGAGCTTTTGATTTTTGCAAAAAAGTTGTGAAAATTATTTTTACAAGCATTCACTGAAGCCAGAATTCGACCAAAAACGCGCATTCAGACGGCCATTGACTTTTTTATTTTCAGTTGCATCATTATCATTTTATTTATTTAGCTTTTGTAAAAGCAGTGGTAACTTTAGCGAACTACATTCTTTCTGGTTTTTTTTTCATCTAATAACGCTTTGGGGTGATATTTTCTGTGAATACTTTCTTGTATGACACTATAAACACTTCAACTGAGCGTTGACACACTTCAACTGAGCGTTGACACTATTGAACGTAAGTCTTCTGCATGCTTTCTATTATTTCTATTCCAGGACTATCAGTGGGACCACCTTGCTATAGCATCTTACCTGTCTGCCAAGGCGTGAAGTGTAAATCTGAATACAGTTGCATGTGAGTAAGCCCATCTGTTTGCAGTTACTCTTTTCGTGTCCATAAACTGAAAACAAATAAGTAGACAACTATGGAAGTTGGGCAATTTCAGCCCGTGTGTCATTTTGTATTTACTTCATTCTCCACTGCTTGTCTGTGTTTTTGTCAGTCCTATGAGTGCGAGGTAATTACCTTATTCTAGATATAACTTTTTTGCACACAGTATCGATTAATCATGATTAAAGTCGGTTTTCGATTGGTTTTATTTTTTACAAGATAAATGACATTCTGTGTGATAGCTGATCAGCAGTTCAGCTGATCAAAACAACTGTTGCAAAGAAGTGGATTTCTTCATTCCTCGTCAGTTAATTTCATAAGTTTTCTTAACTCATAAAACACAATCCAGCATTTAACCACTATAATGCTTGTTACGGACATTGTTAAATTCTTATTTTTCAAACAACTCAAACGTCAGCAGAATAAATTAATATCTCGTGTATAACACAACAGAAGTGAAATATTCTTACCAAAAGACTTGATATCTTTCCAGGGATGGCTGCGGTTGCACCCCTTATTGCTACAACTCGGCCAATGGGCGCTGTTACCAACCCTAATGAATGTCCATGGGCATAACAACTATGACACTGCACTTAATGGATTGTCTACCTTATTTTCTACCACCTACCACCTCCTCTAATTTTGATGCAGACATATTTCAGTGTAAAAGGAAATTTGTATAAGTGTTTTTTAACCGGGAATCGCAACGTAAATCACATTCACCGCAACTTAAGTAAAACAATAATGTGAAAAAAGCAAAATCAGAACACGATCGAAAACAATAGAAAACAATCTTAATCAAAAACAAGTATGTGTGAACTTGCAATTGCCTTAATGCTTAGAACAGTTTTGCTGTGCGTCCTTGACTAGTAACATATAATTTATTTGGTCTTATAATGGTGGCGTTAACTAGTTAACTTACACAAGAGGTTTGCAGCCTGCAGGTGTTATTTGAAAGGCGCATTGATTAGACATCCGTGCGTAAATGGGAATAAATGGAAGATATGATTACAATTTGGCTTATTTTTTGTGGAATCATTACCAGATTTAACCGGACCTAATTCACAATTACGCGGCAATGGTAGGCCCTATCTTGCATTTCAGATACGTCATTAGTCAAAAATAGGAACAAATTAACTTAAAATCATAAAAATGAGGACTCATTAGCTTTTCTTCATTGGCCTTTGTGTTCGAATGACACATTCATGCAACACCCATGCCACTGAAAGAAAACTGATCGTTTGATAAAAAATGAAAAATAAAGCAAAAACAAATTCGCCATTTTTTTCAGATTCAGTTCTACATTATTACTATGTCATTAACATTTTTTTTAAACAACGTTTATTCAAAAGAATGGAGTGGAGGCAAGGCGCTGGAAGCATTATATGCTCTCCACATTAACATTTAAGCGGTGCAAGTTACAAAAACATTTTTACTCTACAGAAAATTATCTGTAATTTGGCACTTTTCTCGTTACCTCTAATACTAATTTTTTCTGAATCTAAAATAATTCTTTTTGCTTTGTATTTTATTTGTAAAGTTTGAAGAACATATTATCCTGGATTTTAGACTATAAATAGATATGTCTATTTTATTATTATAATCTCAGACGTTTACCCAGTATATAGCAAAATAGTTCTTTTCCTGAAAAAATTAACACTTTCCCCTTGATAACCTTAATTGTTAGCAAAACTAAGCTTAATTAACGTAGTTTTGAGACGTAATTGTCCAATTTGTATGTCACTGTCGTGGCGCAGATGTCGGTTGCTTAATTTCACTTGTGCAGGTGAAAATGACAAATTCAAAAGTCGATTTAATTTTTTTAAAAAACACTTTTCACTGAATAATAATAATAATAATTTATTGAGCACTAAAATGTTTCAGTACATTTTGCAGGCCTTCTAAACTACTTGTGTTATACATACATGTAATATATATCTAGACCTATTATCCCACTTATGTGATATCAGGCTTTCAAACACAAATGTAATTATATGTTTCATAATTACCTTATATACATAATCTACAGTAGCAAGTGGAAGTATTTCTTATAAATGTGGGGAAAAAATAAACTATAAGGAAGGAAATAATAATTAAAAATAATAATACTAATAATAATAATGATGATAATAATAAGATTAAAAAAAAATACCTATATTACACAATGACAATTACATTGTTCTATATTGTGGTAGACTTGCTCATTATTATTGACAGGCTAGTCTTTTTTTAAACGTTTCTTGGATGAAGTGAGACACGGTTTTTAGACAGTGTTCACTTTGAGGATTGAGAAGCGAGACAAGTTTTTCTACATCAGATGACAATTGAGGCGGTATCATTTTTATCATTTTTTCTCTTTCGTTCACATGCTCATTACATTTTAGTAGGAAATGCACTTCTGTTTCAACACCATTGCAATGTGGACATTTTCGGTTTTCTACTGGATTTTTGGGGTTTGTGTAGCGACCTCTTTCGATTTCTAAGTCATGGTCGCTGATTCGAAATTTTGCAAGTGTTTTTATTTCATTTAGAGGGACTTTCATCGTGAGGTAATTTTCTGGAGTGTAGGATTTCTTTATTTCTTTATAAGTTCTTAGTTTGCTTTTGTTGTCACTGTGCAGATCGGTCCAAAAAAGTTCTTCAATTGTTTTAAATTAACATGTGCTTGAAGTAAGTTTGGGTTTACAGTGCTTAGATCTGTTGACAGTCCCTAGAGGTCTATAAAAGTTTTTAGGGAGCTTGACCAGCTAGGCCCTTTTATATGGATTTCTTTTTCATAGATTAATCACGAAGGTAATGAATAATATTTGTTGATAAAATTACGATTTTTAAAACTGTACTGATGTTGTAAGTTTCCAAATTTTGTTTCTATTTCGTAGTGGAGATGGGGACTTAAGAATTTCCAGTAAAAGCATCGATAAAAAAGAAACATTCATGTAAATCCAAAATTCACTGGCAAATCTTCATTCTATAAGCCCTTTTTTGGGACGTAAGTTTCCAGTTTTTGTTTTTTTTTTCTCGTTGTGGAGGAGTGGGTCACTTTTGTCGGTAAAAACGAGAAATACGAAAATATAATGAGAAGAAGTAATTTAGCATTGAATATCAATTAACGAGAAACAAATAACAAGAATTAAACAGGCACCATACGTAACACTGTCGTGGCACTACTAGTACACAACGTGTCCCGTGACCCCCATTGGTCGTTATCATCTAGCAGGCTTGGATAAGTAATATTTGCACTCAGAAACGCACCTGGAAAATGATGCCAACGGCTGTTACCTTCCCCATAGCATGGGTGCCAGCATGGCAAGCCTATTATAGATGTCGACCTGAGGTAGAATTTCTAGTCAGCTTGTGACGGCTCAACTTATCACGTACTGTTTTGACAAGATAACGCAGTCTAGCTATACGAAGTCTTCTTAAGGAAAACTTTGCAAAATGCAGGCTGATTGAAACATTATTCCAATATATATGGCAGTTATTGTATTACATCTTTATACAGAGACAAAAGAAAGGTGGAAAATCGACAAGTTGCTGACTTTGTTTTTATGACAATCACTTACTGCATATTTTCACTCCTGTTTCCAACCTTTGAGCAAGATGAAGATAAAGAAGAAAGGGTAGAAATTAAATGTTATTAGAATAAGCTCGTAAAACATTAATTTTCTCATTTTTATGGGGAAAATGTAAAGGATTATTTTAATGATGCAAATGATTTACTGTAAAACTATACTTTATTTTTTTTATTTACACAAATTATACATGTATTTGTCAAGCTAGCCCTCCCACCTATTGTACAGCTTTTAAACATCTTAACAAAGATCTCTTCAGAGGCAAAATCCTCTTTAGACCATAAACTCAGGTATACCGTGAAGATATACTTAACAGGACTGGGAATAGTTCATCGACCTGTGTTCCCATGCAGTAGACCGGTGTGACGTGACAGAGACTCCCCCGTAATACAGAGTCCGGTTCCCATTACTTTGCACAGGTAACATTTTGACCTAAGATTTTGACCCACTTTCGTCAGGCTGACCCTAACCTGTGTCGTTAAATGGACGGTGGGTTCGGTTTCGCCAAGAAGTTGTAAAGAGAAGGCCTTCTCTTTTCAACTTCTTGGTTTCACCAAGGAGTTTTAACTCCTTGGTTTCACGGACCCTCAGTTTCGTCACGCGGGCCGAAGTTTCCGAAAGGGACACGCAAACGTCTGAGGTAATAGACTTAAATAGTTTATTTTAGCCCGATAATTATTTTATCCTTTACATGGAATACCAGCTATTTTAACCTGGATCAAACAATTTTTATGAAACCGCTCTACACACCGTCTACAATGGTGCTGACGTACGTGTCTCAACTGCTGCATTTGATGGACTGCAATTTTTAATATGATTAAATTTCTGCTCTCCAAACATTAGAGAGCACCGAACGATGACTGATTATCGACCGCCGGGGGGATGATTTTTCTGAAGATTTTGCTATTTTCATTATCTTCAGTATTACATGGCGGGGTCACAGAGCGTGTATGTAACCATTATATTCCAGCGCAACATGAAGTAAGTCATAATTTTGCAATTTTTGTATGTGAGATGTCGCGTGACTTGATCTCTCTCTCTCTCTTTCTCTCTCTCTCTCTCTCTCTCTCTGTGACACACACGCGCGCGCGCGCACACACACACACACACACACACACACACACACACACACACACATTTTAATCATCAGTGGCAGCACTGCGTATTGAGAGTGCGGTAGGTCACCTACAGTACTATTTTACCATATAAGAATGTTAATGTTTTAAAAATGTAAAGATTTATGTGCCAGTAGTAATATGGTTTTTTCTTTGTTTTTCAGGAGAAAGTGAAAAAATGATGACAAAATATATGCAATTTTCAGTATTTCAGTTATTATAATATGAGTAATAGCTGTAACATGAGTTTTTGGTTGGCCCCCAGGTTCTTCATGATGTGTCTCTGGAACCCTTGCATTTGATGAAGAAGAGGAGTATTAATCAAAGACTGAGGATACGAGAGGTGTTCCACAGTAGTGTGAACAGATTACCACCTGATAAACTGACACTTGTAAAGGTATCACTCCACAGACATAAACTCACACTTGTAGAAATTTCACTGTGTAAACGTAAATTCACAATTGTGAAGGAATCACTCAATAAACATAAAATCATATATAGTTTTAAAGGTATCACCAGATAGACATAAACTCGCAGTTACAAAGGCCTAACTGTTTAGACATTAACTCACACTTGTAAAGGTATCACTCCACAGACATAAACTCATGCATCTCTGTAAAGACACCACACCTGAACAATAAACATAAGGCCAATTTTATTTATATTTCCACCAATAATGTGTTTTATTAATTAATAATGAGAACTTAGCTATTTAATTAGTTGATCAAATAATTATGATGAGAATTATTTGCCTTGATAGAGGTTTGTGCCCCCTGAGTGCCTTTCTAGTCTTTAATTAATTTTTTTAAGCCTTGATAATTTTAATTAAAAAAAAAGTGGTGCCTTAAAAACAAAAGTTTTGTTTTCTGTCTCCAGCACAGGTTACTCCCTGCTGCCCTGTCCTACTGGGAAAACACACTGGTTGTCAGGCAAACTGCAGGTCCAATTAGACTGAACAGGTAAGGAAACACCAGGTATTGATGCCTGATAAATTTCACCTAATTGAAAAATTATTTTACCTTTTTTCTTTCAGTAGAAAAATGATTTAAATTATTAATGTCAGTACTGTTACAGTAAGGTTTCTATGGGAACCATTGAATGAATATGTAATAGTTTTGAGATGTGCATATTGTATGTGCGGTATATTTTGAAAGTAAAATGTGATACTAGTAAGCTGATGCACAGATTTTCTTTTTTGTGATTTTTTTTCAATTTAAAAGATAATAAAATTCATAAGTTGTGCAAATCACTAAATTCCTTTGATAGTTATTAGTCAGCATCAAAGATCTGTGTGAATTACTAGCTAACAGATTTTAATTTAATTTAATTTAATTTAATTTTAAAAAAGTTAAAAACCTTTTATTAGCTGTTGATTGAAAGAACCATCACTGATTGTAATATTGCATTGGTTGAACCTCATGCCGCCTCTGCATTACTGGTAAAATTCTAACAGTAAAGTTTGTATTGTCAATTTCTGATTGTAGGAACTGCTCCCAGAATGACATAATCTACAGGGCAGGGTATTACCCTCCATACTGTGTACATGGCTGTGAGCAAACCACTTACTGTGGACATGTCCCTGTGCCTTATGACCATCTGGAGGTCAGTGGTTGACCATAAAGTATTGAGGGGAAGGAGAGGGTGGGGGGGGACTGACAGTTTGGAAAAGAAAATTGGATTTGAAATTAAGAAATGAAATCATGTGTCCTATGGTTTCCACCATGTTGTTGAACCTCACGTGAAAATCTAGCTTTTAGTTGTCTTTCCGGAATTTGCACCATTTGAAACTTTTTGTTTTACTCCAAATGATCTCTGTAATGGTTTTTGTGTAAAGAAGATCATAATTATTTGCTGAGCTGTAATCTCGATCATAGTCTGTCAGGATTGTAAATTAAAAAAATGATAAATTGTTGTATTTCTTATAAGATACACAATCATTTAGAATAAGGCATATTAATAGTTTGGTGTTTGTACTGAATTCTAGGCCTGCCGCATATATCAAGATGGTCATTATCATGAGACAGGCTATGCAGGAAGAGGTGTCCTCAACGCAGATTTTGTCCTCTATGTGTCAGCAGTGGCGTCATCCAAGTGTGACCCTGAGGTCACTGTGGCCTATGCTGCCTACTGCCAGCTGGAGGGGAGTATGGATAGGTAGGTCAACTTGATGGATAGGTAGGTCAACTTGATGGATGGGTAGGTCAACTTGATGGATAGGTAGGTCAACCTGGGGCCGGTTTCACAAAGCAGTAGTTAGTTAGCGATCGGTAGTTAGCCTATCGCTAGTTAGAGTGCCGTTTCACGAAGCAGTCGCTAGTTCTCTCGCTCGTTATTGTCTCGTTGTTGCCTTGGATATTTAACGACTGGTCAGACCAGTCGCTAACTCTAGAGTTTCATCGTACGCATGCGTAATGAGTGAAATAAAAAGGTTGCTTAGTTACCGTTGTCTGTCGTTTGTCTTTGTATCCAATATGGCGGCTACTTTTCTTGATATCCGTACCGCCAGACGGCAACGTAGACTACGACGTTTTCATGAAAGGCAGAATCTATTAGAATATACACATGATGATGCAATTTACGAGAGGTTGCGCCTAGCTGTGACAAAAAGAGCGGCAAAAAGGTGGTGGAGATCCTTTACGACGACCTCAAAGCAGACGTTCTTATGCATTTCCAGCCACCAAAAATTGGAGAGTTAGTGCTTTCCTGACACTTTTACGCAAGAATTCCACTTCCGGCAGACGGTTTCGAGAGTACAGTGAGTAACGAGAGAACTAACGACCGAACTTTACGACTGAACTTAGCGATGAGTTAACGACTGCTTCGTGAAACACCCCTCGAAAATCGCTAAGTTTGCTCGTTAGCGAGGTAGTTCAGTAGTTAGTTGTTCTAACTAACTACTGCTTTGTGAAACCGGCATCTGATGGACAGGTAGGTCAATGTAATGGATAGGTAGGTCAACTTGATGGCTGGGTAGGTGAAGTTAATGAATTGGTAGGTCAACTTCATGGAAAGATAGATCAGCTGTATGGATAATTTTCTAAACTGTAAGAAAAGGAAGGTCAATTTTATGGATACGAATCTTCAACATTATGAAGAGGCAACGTTTCAGTTATTTTACAATCATTTATAGGTCCATGCACCGCATAGATAGAAAATTCACAGTATCAAAATTTTCTGTGCAGAAAACGTACAAGGTGTAACTATATTTGTCCATATTCATATGGTCTTAATAAGTGAAATTGACCTGTATATTATCTGATTCAGTAGATATTTATAGCCGCCCATATGCCAAATGTAAGTTATATTATTGTAATAAACTTAACCCGTTGTAAATGTTTATTTTTCAGACCAGTAGCGGGATTTATCAATCTCTGTCCCTATTCCATCTCCACCAAACTCCATGACATGACAGAGATGGTGTCCACAATCAAACATGAGATACTGCATGCTTTAGTAAGTACCTGGTTTTCATATTGAAAAAAAGGGTCAAAATGAAGAAAATTGTAATTAAAGAGAAAATGTTATAAAAATAAAGTAATTTTTCTTCTTTCAACAGCTTAATAAATGAAATCAACAAAAAAAAAAATGATTTGTCTAAAGTATGTAATATGATATGTGTTATGATTGTGGTATTTCAGGGTTTTTCAGCAGGTCTGTTTGCTATGTACAGAGACAAAAATGGAGATCCTTTGACTGAGCGGGACATATTCACTGGACGACCAGAAATGTTTAATAATGAGTATGTTGTGCTTATGGATTACTAGATATCTAATGTGAATATAATTTCTTAAAAAAATAAATACAGTGTAGAATTGAGATAAGAAGAAAAAATGTCTTTTAGCACTGTTGAAAACTGCATTTATTAAGTTTTTATGCTATTAAAATAGAATTTGTTTTTGTTTCTTTTTCAATTGTTTAAAAAAATTTAAAGTTTTATCTTTTTTTATTTTATTTTGTAACAAATTCTGTACTTTAGATTGGGAGTATACCAGTGGAGCTCCAAGGTGGTGAGAACTGTGTCCAGAAGAGACTGGAGAGTTAGAGGAGCCGTCATACAGAGGCATTTTTATCTCATGGTCACACCAAAAGTTACAGTAAGTTGACAGGAAAAACAGTAAGTTGACAGGAGCTGTGGCCAAAAGTTACAGTAAGTTGACAGGAAAAACAATAAGTTGACAGGAGTTGTGGCCAAAAGTTACAGTAAGTTGACAAGAGTCTTGGCCAAAAGTTACAGTAACTTGACAGTAGTAATGGCCAAAAGTTACAGTAAGTTGACAGAAATCATGGCCAAAAGTTGCAATAAGTTGACAGATGGTCATGGCCAAAAGTTACAGTAAGTGGATGGGAATTATAGCCAAAAGTTACAGTAAGTTGACAGTATTCATGGCCAAAAGTTACATTAAGTTGACAGGTGGTCATAGCCAGGCTTGTTACAAGTTTTATTAATTTTTGAGCAACTGTTTCGTTAGTTGCCATTGAGATGGGGACTGGTAAATTTTCACTTGTAATGTTAAAAATCATAATTTGAAAATTATTTTTGAAGATTTTAATTTTTCAACAATTTTTGATAAGATGTCTCTTTGTGACTAAGAAAACTTTTTTGCTATATAAAGATGATATGTGCATTGTGTGCCTGTGAATAGGCCTATATTTGAACATTGACTGTACAAACTTGGTTTTTTACAGGAAGAAGCCAGACGACACTTCAACTGTTCGACACTAGAGGGCGCTGAGTTAGAAAACCAAGGCAGCATAGGCACTAAACTCACACACTGGGAGAAAAGGGTGTTTGAGGTATTCATGGAAATAATTCATATTTTAGAATATTAAAGAAAAAACCCAGTGAAGATGTTTATTCCAGTTCAGTGGCATAAATTGGCATTTTGATACAGTTACAGTCCAAATCATATTTTTTAAGTGCTGTCTGGATTATAAGTTTGTCATTTTATGAAAAACTATGTTTCTGCTTGTTTAATGAAATCTTTAAGATTGAATGTTTAACTACATCAAATTTAAAGTTACAGTAGATCATATTCTGTCAGTCTCTTTGAACTACATTTAACTGATGGCGTTTCCTGCCTTTTTTTGCACAAAAATAATCAATGATATTTCCCAAAACAAAACTGTTACATGAAAAAGATGACTTCTTCAGATGATGAGTTCTTCAGAGGAGTTTTTGTGAGTAACTAAAAAGCAGCAAATATAGGAGAAAAAGTTAGAGATTGAAGTAAGTGAAATGTTTAAATTTTTTGAGTGATTGCCATGCCACATTTCCTCATCTTGTTATAGCTCAAGTGAAGCAATATATATGTTTTAGCATGAAGCCATGACAGGTACCTATACACAAAACCCAAAGATCTCTAGGATAACACTGGCACTTATGGAGGACACAGGGTAGGTAATTTAGGCAAAGGTTTCACCAATTATATAAATCATACATCATAAAAACTTTGAATTCCCCAAGTGCCTGCATTTCTAATGTAAATAAATTCTTTAAATTTGTCATTGTTTGGTGAGCTGTGGTATTTTAATAGTTTGTTATTGGTGTTATTTTATCTGGTACAAGACCATGCAACAGTGATATTCTATAATTATGTTATTGCTGTTAATTTCATCTGGCACAAGGATAGCTATGATATTTTATAAGTTTGATACTGTTGTTATTTTTAGCTGGTACAGGGTCAACTATGCCATGGCAGAGCCACTGCAGTGGGGCAAAAATCTGGGTTGTGATTTTGTGAAGAAAAGTTGCATGGAGTGGATTAAAATGAGAACTGAACAGTACGTCATTATCTATAGCCCAAGTCATAGGCCCCATTCAGAATAGGGGACTCACTAGGCCGTCAAATATGGCAACCCACTACAAAGCTTGCAGTCTAATCTGCTAATAGGGAAGTATTCGTTGGGAAGTATTCAAGTGGGTTGGCCCTATTTGACCCTCGAACTATTTAGTCCAGTATTCTGAATGGGGCCATAGAATAGTATGAAGACCCTTGGGTCATTATTTGTATTGGAAAAGAATCCAGTCACTGCCTTTTTAAGATGATAATGATTGTAATAAGCAAAATTTTATAGTTAAAAATAAATCTTGTACTGGATCCAATCAACCAGTTTTAGCATAATAAACTCACATGACTCTTTACAGAGGGTGCTATGATTTTAGCATGTTTTCTTTGAAAATTCCAGGAAGAAATCCATTTTGCCATTCTGCACCAAGGTGAAGAGCACTCCACTTCGCACCCTGTGTACCACGGACCGAGATGCAGTCGCTCTGTGTAATCTCAAGCAATATCCAAAACCTATACCCTTCATGTACCAGGTATTCCATTGGCATTTTTCTTTGTGAGTTAACAAAATCTTAGTTTTTGGCAGTATGATATGGATCAATCAGTTTTGTTTGAATTAACTGAATTATTGCCATCATAAAGATTGTGTCTCTACTGTTGTATACATTTATGTAACATATTTTAATCTTAAAAAATACAACCCAACTGTACAGCAGGAAGAAAGCTGGTTGCAAACAGGTTGGAAATGCCAGTATTTCAGTGAAACTTATGCAATGGATTCAAATAATTTATCAGTCCATTGTTTTTTGCATAATATTTGCCATTTTCATGAGATTACATAACATGAAATAATATGAGATTTTTCTCCGTGCCAGTACTTCAGTGAAACCAATGAGGATCTCCCAGGGACAGCTGCCCAGTACGGAGGGTCAGTGGGTCTGGCCGATTATTGCCCCTATGTACAGGTGAGTATATGGCCCCATCCAGAATAGGGGACTAACTAGTCCGAGGGTCAAATATGGTGGCCTACTACAAAGCTTGCTGTCTAATCTGCTAATAGACACTGGACAGATATCCTGTGGGGAAGTATTCAAGTGGGTCGGCCATATTTGGCCCTCGGACTAGTTTGTCCCCTATTCTGAATGGGGCCTATTATGACCAGCGGCCTGGTCACCTGCTGACCAGGAGCCGGGTGGTCTCATGAGTGACCAGTGGCTAGGTCATCTGGTAAATGTATTGTGGGCAGTGATTATATCATCTGTTAGAATGGAACCACTGATGACTCTAAGCTTAAGACCTCAAATGCCAGGTATTTTTTTAGTACTGTACAATAAAAACTTATATATATTATTAGCCAGTAAGCAGGCATGAATTATATGGCAATTTGAAAATATTTCAGTGGCTAAAGCCCCAAACTTTTCTACCTCACTGAATTAATTCAACAACTCGGGTTTAAGTATTTGCTTATTATAACAAGCAAACTATAAATCAGTTTTTTTACAGAATATGTGTATGTGTGTGTGTATGGAGAGAGAGAATAAGGCAATTACTTTGGCTAAGCCTTGGCCTTCAGGGTTTGATCTTTTCTCATATGTATATTGATTTTGCCTCACTTTACAGTGTTCCTTTAACATTAGTTTAAGTTTCATATATTTGTTTAATATTTTCAGGAGTTTGTGTGGAGAGACAGAACCGACACAATTCAGAGAGGCTCTAGATGCACCCTGTCTTCTAATACTGCAGGTATACATTATGTCCTTTCACTTGACACTCTGTATTAAAAGTGATGATAATGACAGTGTTGATAATATTCATGGTAATGATAACAGTTATGACACTCATAATAATAATACTTTATAGATTGATCAAAGATTTCTGTTCTGTACTTTTTCAGAAGTTCATGGCAACCATTTCCTTGAGACATATGGTCCAAATTCCAAGTGTTTTGAACACCATGGGATCTGGTCATTAAAAAGGTGCAATATGCCTGCTCCACTGAAGCACTTTGGCAGTGGATGCTACAAGGTCAGTGGATTCCTAATTATTAAAATATATATGTATATATACGTAAATATAACAATTTTAATGTTTTTCAAACTCTTTTAGATGCAGATCTTGACTTTTTTTTTTGCAGGAAAATGACACATTCTGTGTCACGAAGTTCCATCAGCGGTGTTGACTGGGTCTCATTTATTTTTTGATATCTTTCATGTGTAAATTGCGTACCTCTGTCTTCTTTGCTCTCATGCAATTATTTATTTTTATGTATTCATGTATACAATGAAAAGAATCATACAAAAGCATCTATGATGGCTTCTTCTTAATCTACCACTTTATTTTATCTTTAATGCAATTTTGTCTTGATATTTTATGGTGGTTTAAAAGCCACTCATAGTTCATCTATGATATCATCATTCAATTATTTGTTTTGTTCCAGTACTCTTGTAACTCCACAGTGGGGTTAGTCCTGGATGTTCATGGGAAAAGCTACAGGTGCTACAAAACTGGCCAAATTCTGGTTGTCAGGGTGATTTTTGATGGATGGCTGACAGAGGGCAGCATAGTCTGTCCATCATGCCAAGAAATATGTCAGGTAATGAAAATAAGGACTTCAGAGTGGCCAAAGTGTTGGAGAAATATTAATAACTTGTATTGCTTAGGTTTTTTTCTGCTGCTGTTTAGAATTGTCGACTCACATTGTAAGTTCAGAATAAAGTTGTTGTTTTTTAAATTTATTTTCTGAGCATGGAATAAAAAAATTGGATAATTTCTGATGTGCTCAAAATGTCCTCAAGCAAAAATGCAATGCATTCATGAAGTAGGTATTATGACAAACTAGCCGCCTATTTACCCACTGATGAATTTATGCAAAGCACAGTAATTTGACAACACGAGGGTCTAAATCGAAGGCTACAGCCTTCTACATATGTGATTGAACAAGGAATTAATCACCAACTTATTCTCTTTTCTGTTATTTATTCTCAATTTTTATTGCAATTCTCACATATAACTGTTCATGCCATACAGGAAGATATTATTATAATTGTGACTTATTATTGCCAATTAACTCCCTCCAATCTATTTAGGCCAAAGGTGTTACTTGTCCACCCGAGTACAATCCACCATATAGTTCTCCAGTGAATCTTCGCATGCCCTGCAGAGGGAGCCTGTTACACCCCAGACATGTGCAGGTGCTTCCTGCTGTGATATTGTTATTTGTATTATTATCATCATGTATTTAGATGTGCTGTTATACACTTAGTTTGGTAAGTAGTAATCATGACATTCAGTGTTAATACTGACATTATGCCTAATGCATGTTTAGTTGCAGCGGGGATGTACAGTTGTGTATATTTGTTCAGATGTTGGCCACTTTTTTTTTGTTTTTGGCCAGCAGGTACTTGGTGTCTTGCATGGCAAGTAGGCTTAAAGTTTTATGGCATTGACTGTTACAGTCATGGCCATAGAAACAGGTTATTATAAAATAAAAGTTTATTAAGTTTTTTTTAATTATTGCTTATTTGATCAGTTTGCTTATTTTTTGATTGAATGATTTTGAAAATGCCTTGCTATCATTTAGCTTATCAATTCTCTAGGAAGATTATGAAATTGTAGAATGCTCACCAAACTCTCTCTCTCTCTCTCTCTCTCTCTCTCTCTCTCTCTCTCACACACACACACACACTTAAAATTGCTACAATTTCATAGGAATGAATATGATTTATCAAACTGTGTGTAATAATGGTTTCTCAACTATTTTCAGGTTGGTATTATTTACCATGAATGTACAGGCTCAGGTGATGAGGTTCTTAGTCACTGACAGGAATGTACTGGAAGGTCAATCAACCACTGGCAGGTAATACTGGATGAAGACAATCACATTGGCCCCATTCAGAATGAGAGGAGCCGAGTGCTAGCTAGGCCACGACCTAAATATGGCAGACCTACATGAAAGGAAGACTGTTTAATCCTGTAATGGTCTCTCTGCCTTTCACACGCCTCACCATGCGTCGTCCCTGAAGGGGCACAGTAATTAAATCTCTGCTCAATTCAACCGGTCGAGGGACGATGCGTGGGAGGCTTGAGGTCCCAGTTAGGAAAGAAAACAAATACAGAGGCTACTTTTGAATCAAAGTTTTGAATCTTCACTGACCAGAAAGTCATGGAGACCAAGAAGTCAACACAATTTTAATAGTTAAAACAAGAATTAAAAATGCATTATTATTGAATTTTTTTTGTATCAGCATTTGTATTATTGCTACTGTAAGTTTCTGTAAGATGTGTTGTTTGTTGCCCATTCTGGTTTTCTCACACACAGATAGATAGATAGATAGATAGATAGATAGATGGAATGTACTTTGGGCAAAATGTACCAGAAGTACCAGAATAATTCATTACACAATTTAGTATAGGTAGTTACCCTGATTTATATAAACTGTGTATATTTTAGAGCATAAACATACTTAGGCTTTTAGATTTTAACCTTTTGGATATATTTATGCGAGAAACATAAATTCTCATGAACTTGTTTTCTAGTCATGATGTGTTTTATGAAATCCATTAATATAATCAGTGTCAGCCTTGAATTAAACTTTTTGGTGCTCACATTGTATTGTGTGTGTGTGTGTGTGTGTGTGTGTGTGTGTGTGTACACTTGTTGTTTGTACCAGTTTTGTAACAAAAAAAAAAGTTAAGTGATAAAGTATGGATAAACATAGACTTTTAGTTTGGAAATTGTTCTCAACTTTTAGACCAAAATGGGACTACTACTTTGACAGGAGATAAGCCTGTAGTAGTAGTAGTCCCATTGAACAGTATACAGCCAAAATCTCATTAGAAAAGACTGCGTATATGTCACACCTGTCCAATACTTTACATGTGTGTTCCCTCGAAGTGGAGTAGACCCAAGCTTTAGGTCTAAAAGAGAAAAAAATCGGGCTAAGTTGTTTTGTGCAGCTGTGCCTAGGAATGTGTAAGAGCAGTGTGTGACAGTGACAAAAAGAGAAAATCGAAAGTGAAATTTTTGAACAGGTGTGGTGTTTTGAATTTTTATAGTGGTCAAAGCTGTAATTCAATTCGTAAATTAAATATCCATTTTTTTCTTCAATTTAAATCAGTCAGATTTACATGTGGAATGTGTTCTAAATTGTTGCTTTGACAGCAGTACATCATCTAAGGAAAAGATCATTTAGTATTCAAGACATTTTTACTTGTAACTTTTGATTTGAATATTTTTTAAAAATTGTTTTTGACAAATTTCTTTTGTTTAAAGAATTGTTTATCATTTAAAATTTCCTATATAACCATTTTGTATATTCTGTCTGAGAAAGTCGAGTTTTTTAAAATTTGTTGCTTTGATAAGAAGTGGTTAAAGTATGTATGGTGGATTACATATCGAGTACAACTTTTTTCAAGTTAAGGGAAAATTTGAGTTAGGCTATGCTTAAGTATATTTCCATAAATAACAAAGAAATCAGCTGTCCTATAAGATTTCTGCAACATAAATGATAGAGTAAGATGAGGATTGACTACTGCACATTCTCTGTGAGTTTGCAGTTAAAAATTTGAATGGCATTTTCAGCATGAAATCTTTTTCAGGACTTCAGTTTTCATTCTGTACAGAATATTAAAAGGTAAACACTATACAGAAAAATGTCTTCTGATCGTATTAAGTGCCTTCTGTTTAGGGCAACAGCATGGTTATATGTGACAATTTATACAGTGTCTTTTAATGACACTTCTCCACAACGAAGGAAATTAAGGAAAAAAAGACGCTGCTCAGGTGCTTGTTTGTAAAATATTAACTTATTTCAACTCACTGCATTGTCGTTGTATTTAGGTACATATTTCAGCAGATCCATTTAAATAGATTGTCAAGTATTAAATTTTGTACTTATTAGGACAGGCATGTAAAACTAAGGCATCAGTGATAAAGGTTAAGTATTAAATTTTCTACTAGTTAGGACAGGTATGTAAAACTAAGGCAGTGATAAAGGTGCTGTAGTGATCAGTAGATGATAACATAAAATATGGGTTCTATTATCATATTGCATGGAAGAGTATTGAAATCATAAATTTTGCTCCAAACAAAAAGGTTGTAGAATGCTTATATAAACTTCTGATTACATGTTGTGTTTACTAGGGAAAAGAGAAGTATTTGTACAAAATAAATGTTAAATATTTCAATGTTCACAAAATATCCAAGAAAGACAATATCTGACTTGATTTATTCAGTTTTCATCATCAATATTAGATATTTAGTCAAACAGGTCAATATATTAGGAAGTCATTTTACATAAAGGAGAAAAAGTGATGTGATAAATCGGATATAGCCAGCAAATGGGTAACAAAATCAATATTAATGTATTGGATTATTCAGGAGTTTAACTTCATATCTTTGTACATTAAGAGTACAACTTGTTCACCAAATAATGCTTGAGAAAAAGACACATAACCATTGGACATTGCACAACAGTTCTTCTCACCATTTTACTTTTTATATTGAATTTCTTAGTCCAAAAGAAAAATAAATAAATATATCTCCCTGTTGCGATGTTTATCTTGTGTTCTTTTCAACAAGTTGGTTACTGTAACATTTTTAATAAGACTAACATTTACATGTAATTATCTATAATTGCAACCTCACCACCAGTGTTCAGTGTACAAATACACATTTATAAACTAGAGGATCAGAGAGGCGATACCGCCTCCGAATATTGTACCACCAGCTGGAGCAAGCGCATTCGTATAGACCCCCACATACACAAAATAAGGGGTGCAGCCACCAGTCTTGTGCTTGACAAGCTGTAAAAATG